TTAACATATTTGACTATAATCGTGATTAGGCCTGGTCCATTAAGTCCAGCAATTCATCTCCTTTGTCTCCTGAAAGGGACAATAAAATACAATCATTTATAAAAGATGTTATGATTATATTAATATTACTTATTATTTTCATTGCGCACTACCAGCCAACTATATTTGCATGTTGCAGACTTACGGTCTTGAGAATCTTGTATGGAAAACTCGTCCATCAAATTAGAGAGTTCTTGTCTTTGTTGTTTCTAAAAAAACAAAGATATTATTGCAGCYKAATGAGTGATGACAAAATAAATATAGCACAAGGCAATGGTACCTTAGTAGCATCTATTTTAATTACACGATGTGAGTCTTCTTGACTTGATGAACTGGCTTGAGCTTGTCTGAAATATCAGAAATCAAAACCATTACCATTTTAAAATCATTTACAATAGTTTCAAGTCATAGGACAATCATTATTTTAGTGTGTTTGTGATGACTGCTTTGCAAACACTTACTGYTCTTCCTCGTCTGTGTTGAAGAGATTTAGCCGGAATGGTTGTGCTAAACAACGAAAAAAACATTATGAACTTAAAAACATGACCTGCAAGCTTTCAGAAACTTGCTTGATAGTGTTAACTATTGCCTGCCTAGACCATGTAAATGACAGTTATCAATGATGTACTATAGTTGACAAACCAGGCACAAAAAGTACTTCAATATTWCTTAGGACTTCAAGTCTGCTTTTATGAGTTTCTGATCTGTTTTCCGTTTCACTTTGCATTTTTATCACAGCAGACTGCGAAGTTCTTTCGTTGTGAGGCTGTGCTGTAGTCGCCCTCTTTTCCATGTCATTATTACATAGGTGGGTAAGCTGTATGAAAGCTAACCTTTAGCAGTAGATTGACTGCCACCAACAAGTCGAGCCAATAAATTGAGTTCTTCTTTTGCCAGAAGATTTGTATTTTCTTGATCCTAGTCAAAAAATAAATAATTAATAGATATTAGAGGATGCATTTTTTTAATAGCTCATTTTTTTCATGAATATTAAATCCCATCAAAGATGTCAAAACATTTTAATTTGTCAAATGGAAAGACCATATAAAATAAATTAAGTATCACGTTCACTAAAATCATGACATTTTTTTCTAGTAAATATTTTAAAAAAGACTGCAGCAGTWYRTACTTCRTCAGTTTGGTCAGATGTGCAAACRCTTCCCATCGTGTCTTTTTTGACACTCTGTACACTTGAACTTGATGTTTCAATAGGTCTTGTTGCAATATACCTAAAKCAAATGAAAAATCATGGAATATTAGTCAAAAAAATCCTCAAAGATAATGGATAAAATTCAGGCAATGTTCTTCTAACTAAACAAGAATGAAGTTCTCTTTGGGTCTGGCTAAACCAGTTGTGATAAATAGAATTACCATCGTATATACTAGTAAGTTTTTTAAACACCTTAACGTAACTACACCTACCTTACGTAACTATGGCAATGATTTAAAGTAGATACTTACATGTTTGTTCCTAATTTGATGACTCGGTCGCCTAGCAACTCAAATGAACCAGGTTTGTCAGTCAAGTAATGTTGGCAGCCACTTGAGAAATGAGTGGTTTTTTCAATTTTTTCATCAGCACCAAAATATCTGTGAAAAGGAAGAGAACATTGATAAGTGAAATTTATTGCTTTTTTGTATTTGAAAATCTCTCACTCACTTAGAATTTAGCTGTCAGACTATATCTTTTTTATTTCTTTTTAAATTTGTCTTTTACTAAATAGTACAATTATATAATAATATTGTATTTTACAAGTAAAAACAGGCATGCTCATGTTACAGCTTTTGTGATTTGAAATGTTTTCTCCATATTAACAATTTGTGGGAATTGAGATACAAACCTTTTCTATTTTTCCTTAGTCTTTCAGAGAAAGAGTGTTTCATCAAATTTCCAYTGATGAAAATTGACCCGGGAAGTAATTCTACTTTACATGAATGTATTTCCATAAACTCCCATTTAAGTATGGACTTTCACTGCTACTGCTCTTACCTTATAGCTCCAGGTACCTCTGTTTCCCACGGAACAGGTCCATCGAGAGATATGACAAATTTCCCATTWGAATTCTGAACTTTATCTTTCAAAAATATTGAAACCCTGATRTGCATATCTTGGAAAAATGCCAGTAGCGTTTGACGGACAATTTGAAATTGTCCGAGGCTTAAATCTGCATACGTCTAGACCAAAACAAGAATCTCATCAGATACCTGTTGGAAGTCTATACAGTGTTTTGGACTCTCTCCAGATAATTGATAAATGGCTGTTTTTCCATAAGCATATAATTTATCCTACATAACACTTGAGGCTCACACAATCATGACCCCCCTGTCCTTCTACTCATCGATTAAGAATGAAGGGTGGCAGAGGGTCAGAGGGATGTATTAACTTAGGCTATGGATATTATTATGGGTGACATTTTTGGACTATAAATTAATGCCTACATGATAGTGTATGTCTGACTAGAAAGGTAGATGTTTTGAAAATAATAATTTATTTAGTGTGTAAGGTTTTTCACACTCTGCTCCCCAAGGTTTGAAAACGGATTTCAATCACTCTCTAATGTTGTTTGTTGAATCATAAATCCATTATACGACAAACAAGATCCTCRTATTCCATGCACTGCCCCTAATTCACCAGTCAGTGCAGCTAACATGCGGATAACACCCMGTACCTCATAAAGATGTTTATAAACATTTTCTACTTGTGCACTGATGTTGGCATTGTCAGACACAAAGCTCCTTATGGCATCCATATGGTTGTAAGTAACTAGCAAGACATCTGATGGGCGTAAACACAGCGACACCTGTCACAGAGATGTCAAAATATATAATTATTATTAACTTCTCATTTTGAATTTGTCACTAAATAGCATGATTTGTAGCCTGTGTACATCTGTTTCCCACCCCTTACCCCCCTACGGGGAAAAGAAATGGATGTACACAGGCTACATGGTTTGTCATGATGGCAGTTTATGGCACCAAGCCCAAAAACGTGACTACAGATAAAGTATTTTCATTATCTTACTACACAAGTCTGTACACTTTTAGTCTACACTGACTTGATTTTATCTATTAAAATTCATTCTCATAATTCAGTGACTATAGTGGAAAATAAGCTCTGTTTCCATAGTTACCTGATATTTGAATGCCATGGTCATCAGATCATACAACTGTAAAACACAAAAAAAGGTAAGTCAACCTCAAAATCATGTCAAATATCTACTTACAGACCATTTCACTAACAAGTCAATCAATCAGTGTAGACCCCTTGCAGCTCATGGGAATACAGCTCCAACTAGGGTCAAAAGGTTAGATTCTAGTTCCCAATGGGGCAAAAATCTTTTTTTTTTGTCCTCCATAAGAAGCTTGCTTTGACGTCACATGCAAGGGGTCTAACCAACTAAYCAATCAAGTTATTGCGTTATCAAGCAGTCAWTATTACCAGACGCAGACTAACTAAGATAACTAGAGTGCAAACACTAAATAGTTTGGGTATTTACTTTGGAAAAAGTGCTAACTAAACAATAGAAAACAAAAAAATAATAAACATAATAATTTATCAGTTATCTAGAGATATTTATGTTGTAAATATTTAATGTTTGCACTCCAGCATTAATATTTTCAAGATATTATCAAACCTTATCCATGCTTGCAGTGTTTAGTCTCATAATAGAGGCATGAGCAAGCCGGTCAAACACAGTACGCATGGCTTTCTTGGAGTACGTGTCCTGAGGCTTGAATAACTCTTCTACAAACCTTTTGTTAAACATCGTCCCAACAATGTCATGCATTACTGAAGAATAAAGAAAACTTTAATAAATTTTTTGGGCAAAATTTCAGACTTTTATTGGGTGCGTTGCTTATTTGTTAACTGTTTGTGTGCAAATATTTTGTGAAGTGAGTCTCAGCTTCTATACTTAATTATATTATATTTTTTTTATAAAAAACTGTGAATATTTCAAGGAATCGATTATTGTTTCCAAAATGTCAAGAGACATGTAAAAGACAAGAAGCCAATTGACACTAAGACTTCCCCTCTTCAGTATTTAAACTTAAGTTATTAGGTATTCTTATTAAGTTTCCTCTTCCATAAAAAAAATAATATAAGCTTACAAGTCTGTTATTTATGAGTCTATACGATCAAGAGATAATAATTATGATTCTTTATGAACACTGATATTTAGAAATAACGATACGATCTCAAGAATTTCTTCATCGATTTTGAACCCTGACACCAGTKTATTTGCTGTACATCAGCTGTTCAAACATACAAGGGCTTAGAGATTCGGAACCTTACATCGTGAAAATTATAAATTGAGAAGATTCATCGATGCTTAAATGGGTTTAAAAAATCAATTCTTACTCAAAGTTTCAATCTTAGATTTAAAACATGCTAGGTCCAGGTAGTTTAGTAAATAACAACATCCTGTGATATTCCATTGAATCACTGATAGGTGACACTACCGTGCGCTTTTGTGTCAGGTGAAAACAAGTCTTTCCTGGTCGCCATATTTTGCCTAAAAGCTTGTCGTGTGCTGTTYAATGGGCCTATAGTCTTTGAAAACAAAACCCACCTTTCTTAGCTTTTTCATCTGGGATTGATTGAGCGCGAAGTCTTTGATCAAGGATATAAAGCATCTCTCCCCCAAGATTGAGGAAAAGGATCGGTAAAGTTCGCAAAGACATTTTTGACTTGAACGAAAAAGAGGCAACGAACGCCGTCTGTGAACACTTGGCAACGAAGGGATACCACAGGTAACCCATAAAAATATAATTCTCATGCAACAATATTAACAGAAATAACATCGTTTGATCTAAGATTTTATTCATCGTTCCTTTTTTTTCGATTCYCTACACGAATTTTAGCGCGAATGCTTGTTGTTTAATCAGTCACTTGTACGAATGAATGAAAAAGTGTGTTTCTTGGGTTGCCTGTGGTATWAWGAGGGGAAGTCTGTTCCAAGTTCCAAGATGGAGTTCGTGGAGTATATTAAATCTCCACAAGTTGACAATGCTTTTCTTAAGCGAAGGCATGGAGATTACGTAGAAGGAACCTTGTGCATTACTGGACATCACATCATCTTCTCTTCAAGAAAAGACCACAAGGAAGAACTCTTTGTAAGTAACATTACATAGTGAAAACAAGAAAGAAAGCAAATGCTCTCTTCTGATCAATCTTCTCTTTCGGTTTTCTCTACAACAAGCCCCACAATTATACTTAAGTACCCAAGGATTTGTGAATCCACTTATTCTTTTGTAGACAACATTAAAATAATAATTAATTCGTAGATAAACAAAGATTTCTTCAGGAGAAAAGGTAGCAAATACAGGATGCCTTTCATCAGCATCTTAATTTCATAAGTCGTAAATTCTCTATTTGTAATAGTGATAACATGCATTAATTTGATCCTAAAATTCATAATAGTAGTTTCTGGGTTTTGCTTCACTTCTGGGAATCATATTTATTGACATGAATTAGCATAACCTGGCTTTAGGGGAGAAGAGAGGGGATCGTTATCGAATGGATGAGTCCTAGTCATCAGTTTTTGCAGTACTAGAGGGCATAACAATTTCAACTAGCAGCTTTAAATTTGAAATCCTCATGCTAAATTTCTCCATAGCTTTTGCACAGCGCCGTTGAAAGCTTAGAGAAACGGATCATCACTGGTCAGGTTGGCATCATGACAATATGTTGCAAGAACTTTGACTTGTTTAAGATGAAGTTTCCAAACACAGAGGAAATGTTTAATGTGGCATCATCAATTGAAGCTCTGTCAGTCATCGGTAAGTTTTAATTCATATAGTTGTATTGTAGTACGTCTAACCGGGATGAAATTATATATTGCAGACAATAACAACCTCAAATATCCATTTTTCTACCGTCACTTACAATCACTCGACGAGGATGGATGGGACATGTTTAATACAGAGGTAGAGTTTTCACAGATGTGCATGTCAACACAGAATTGGAGGATATCGCATATCAATGCTGATTACAAGGTAGGTAAACAGCAAATAATGAAAATATATATTCAGGTAAAGATATATTCAGGAATCTAGCAAGTAACATGTGCAAACGTGCATGTTCAGGAAAATCTAGCAAGCAACATGTGCAGAACTGCACAGTGCAGGGGCTAACATGCATGTATACTTCAGGGAACAATGATTAGCATAGCAATGACATAAGCAGTCTGTTCTGGTGATCGACTGACAACCATTAATCACTGAGAGTCAGGCAGGCAAGCAAGCTGTAGCCAGCAATCCATTTGCAAGCCATTGGTCGTCAACAAGGAAGCAGCAAGCTAATGTCTAGGAATCTATTGACAAGACAATGATCAGCTGCAATTGAGCAAGCAGGCAAATATAAACAGGATATAGCCTCAATTTAAACATTGTGTTAAATTGCATTTTGCCATCATCGCGTAATTTCATAAGTAGCCAATCATATTGCGGCTTTCAGTTCGAGATTATAATGAGCACAAAAAGACTATGGTTTGATTGGTGATAATTTGTCTTTGCAACAGTTCAGAGCCATGACTTGACAATCGTCTACTCCATAATACCAAGCAAAACTCATCAAATTTAATAATATGTGAATTGTTTGCAAGAATTAATACATTTGTTTTCTGTAGACATGTCCTAGCTATCCAGCCAGTGTGATTGTTCCCGCATGCATCACTGATGATGAGATCAAAGCATCAGCTCAATTTAGACATGGTGGTCGATTTCCAGTCCTTTCCTATTATCATAAACCAACAGAGGTAACTATGGTAACTGATGAGCTATGATAAATGATGGTGATGATGATGATAAGGTCATAATTAAGAATTCAACATGGAATGCCAATTATTATGTGTGTAATTTCATACAAAATCTTTCACGGATAAATTGAAAACACTCTTACCATTCAACAGGTTTCATTAGTACGTTGTGGTCAGCCATTGATATCAGGTGTTGTCAATAAAAGATGTAAAGAGGATGAGAAACTTGTGAATGCTGCAYTAAAYACACAGAAAAAAGGAATGATTGTCGACACCAGAACCCCAACAGCACAGCTTAATAGCAGAGGCAAAGGTTAGTGGTCAACCATTATTTCATAATGAGTTTAAAATGATTTTCATGGTGATTTTCAAAGATATAATTGATTGTGTCTTATCCTTCTGAGGAGACGTTTACTTAGCTCATCTCATTATACTGAATAAAAGTTTGCAAGTTAATTCTTTAGTATTATTCTCTAAGATCAAAATGAGCACAAAAATTGCCACAAAAWTCAGCACAATAATCACCAGGATTGTAAACCCTAATTTTTGCTGCAAAATTCTTTGAACTTAGGTGGTGGTATTGAACCAGAATCCAACTACCCACAATGGAAAAGAGTTAACCACAACATAGAAAAATACTCTGGYCTCAATGATGGTATAGCAAAGCTTGTTGAAGGTGATGATAGGTTTGAATTATAAAGTATTACTGCAGTTGAGAATCAACACATGGCCATAAGCAGASGGCYGTAGTTACGGAAAGCTTTCCAAAATGACTTGTTCAACCCCTGCTTAAACTGTARCCATACTCTCTCATTAATGGACATTCGTGTGTCCTAATCTCCTTCACAGCCTACCACTTTGTCGGGCTTCCTGGATAGAACAGAAAGTCTGACAAAGAGGTAAGCTGCAAAGGAGACGATTTAAAGCATTAGAATAGCTTCATTTTTTTGGCAGCAAGCTGCTAGTAATAGATCATCCAATTCACTGATAATGATCTTGTTTTCTTTGACATTTGAAAGAAAAGTCTTCTTCACAGTTCCCAATGTGTCATCTTGAAAGTTTGTGYCTTTGCMTTGAAGTGAGATTACTGTTGAGCATGCAATGATAGAAACCTTCTTTCCCACATACAGACAATATTTACAGGTATGTATCATTGCACGCTCAACGGCTGTCTTYCTTCAGTGCAWAGRCASGGCTACCTTTCAAGMTGGAGCAGGGAACCTTGAAGGAGAATGTTGTAAGTTGAAGAAAGGAAGTTAATGAAAATAATATAATACTTTATTTATTTGATAGTAACATATTGCTTACCTACAGCTTCACTAGACCACAATTTGAGCATGAATTCCTGGCTGTCAAAACTAGAGTCAAGTGGTTGGTTGGATCAAGTACAATGCGTCTTATCAAGYGCTTGTTTTGTAGCTAATTGTTTAGATAAAGAAGGTAACAAAGTATGTTTTAATTTGCTTGCTTAAAACAAAAACATCTCMATGATCATGAGATTTTTAGGTGAGAAACTTACCACACTTGTCATTGCACAAAAAAAAGTTGCTGAAGAGGGGATCCATTTGCCATTTTTTTGGTGATGTGCCGTTGATATTTATTTTCCTGGTTCATAATCAGGTGTCCCAGTACTGATCCATGGTGACTCAGGTTGTGATGCAACCCTTCAAGTYACATCTTTAGTTCAGGTTATGTTGCAACCAAGTTGCAGAACACTTAGAGGGTAAGCTTTGAAAAGATCTGTTGCTTTGTTCCCCTCCTTTTCCCATTTCCTCTCCCACTTCCTCCATCCTCTCTCKTCCCTTTCTCTTCTATCTCCACTTCCCCTCCCCTTCTTCTTCCTCATTCCATTCCCATCCACCCTATTTCTTGTTTCTCCCTTCCAACCCCCTTTCCCATCCCTTCTAATTCCCTTTCCCTTTCCCCATCCCTTCTCCCTTCCCTTCTTTTCATTTTCCCTTCCCTCTTCCGCCTCTCCTTTCCCATTTTCTCCCTATTGAATCATGTGTACCTAATGTTTTTTAATATGTTGATTTCTTATCCATTTTCCATTTTAATCTTGTAATAATGATGACATCTCTAGATTTTAGTTACTGCCAGATATTYACATGCATGACGTTTTGACAGTTTTCAGGGATTAATCGACAGGGAATGGCTACGAGCAGGCCACCCCTTTGCCACCAGGTGCATTAAAGTTGGCGTATCACMAAACAGATATAAAGGACAAGGACCAGTGTTTTTATTATTTTTGGATTGTGTTTATCAGGTTGGTAAAAAAGATCTCACCAAACACAGTTCAAAGATTTGATGATGATGATGATGATGATATTTATGGTGATAATATTGACATTATGTGACATGAAACTAACAGTTTGATATGCAAGGTTAAGCCAGTGCTCTAAGGTTTTTATCAAACACAATCTTTTATCATATGTCCTATTATCAGTAGATAAACATAATGGCATTTGAGATCCTTTGATAATAATTAATGTTTCCAATTACAGATCTATCAGCAGTTCCCTTGTTCATTTGAATTCAATGACAAATTCTTGTTGTTTGTCCAAGAACATGTTTACTATTCGCAATTTGGTAAGTTGGCATTTCATATTCAGAAAACAAAAGGTATTTACTGAGTGTACATATTTAATTTTGCTACTACTTCTAAAATTGTTTTTAGGAACATTTTTGTGTAATAATGAAATGCAGCGCARCAGTATCGAGCTTAAGGAAAATACAGTGTCTTTATGGTAAGTGTTGTTTTCTGATTGGCAGACAGGCTATTGATTGATAAGTTGACGGTATGATTGATTGATTGAATGACTAATTGATCGAATAATTGATATTAATAATTAACAATTAATCAACAAGTCTTTCACACTAAATTATCATTAGCTTACTTTGCAACATTGTACATTTGTTACTTCATGAAGTAATGTTTAAAGTCTGACAATGAGGATTGGAACGGAATTTCAAGTCTGTGCAATTAGTTCCAATCTGAGACGTTATTAAATACTTAYTACTCTAGTAACCATCTTATAGGCATATAGTTCTCGCTATTTCCCCTGACCAGTTATAAATTAATTAARCATTTCACCCACAAAAATACCACTTAATTTGTTTGGCAGGTCATACCTCAATCAAGATAGTGTTTATTCGTCCATGCTAAATCCAATGTATGAGATGAATGTATCTCCCATTCATCCCTCCATTGTTCCACAAAGTTTGGTATGTAGTTTGACTTGAATCMATACGATGTTATTGAACTTGTTAGGACATAATTCTCTTGCTTATTTGAATAGTCTTCTTCCGGGTTCCAGTGTGCCATCTTGAAAGGTAGCCGTARCCGTACATCGAAGCGAGACAACCGTTGAGAGTTCAATGATAGAAACCTTTTTTTCACACCTACAGACAATTATTCAAAGGTATCTATCTTTGCACACTCAACGCGGGTCGTTTCACTTCGATGTAAAGGCACGGCTACCTTTCAAGATGGCACAGGGAACCGTGAAGGAGACTATTGTACAAATAGAGACAAATAGAGAGGAAAGTAAAGCAAATGTCTTTGTAATGTCTTAAGGGTCTTTGGACTGGAGTGTTTGCAAAATGGCAAAGGTCACTTGGGAATGAAGAACACTTCTGGAAAGAAGTCAAACGTGTACAAACAGAAAATAAAGAACTGAAAGATAAAGCTATATCCCTAAGAAGGTAATAAGGAAAAAACTTTATTGTGATGATGATAAATATAAAGATTATAATAATTAAATAATTATTAAAATTAATACACAAATAAAAATACATAAAAACTATGCTTTAAACATGGTATTATGTAGTTAATTTCCTGCATTTTCTTTTTACAGAGAATATGCTGAGCTACAATCCARTGTTATGGAACACTTAGGTCTCCAATAATTATTAATAAAACATTAATAACAATTTTCAACAATGAATGCATATCATTAAGCATTTCAACACAAACATTAGAAGATTCGAGAGTAGACAAAATCAAATAATATTACATTCAAAGCCATCAAAGAAATATAACAAATAAATGCAATAAAATACTTTACAGACCTCGCTTTCATGCCTATTTTTCGTCACCATTCCCACGTGCCAAAATATCGTGGAATTGGAGTATTAAGCTTAATATATTGTACAAAGGTGAAGTACAAGGAAACACACATGATTCTCTGTGATTCTGTCTGACAAGTGCGTAAGCATGAAGACCATGAACTCAAAGTCATAGAAAATCATGCATGTTTCCTTGTAGTTCAACTATTGTATTTGCAATAGTGTGCAATGATCATGTGACCAGTGTTTTATACCTTGTCAGAGACAAAGGTTTTGATCCAGCAAGGCAAGGGATCATTGTTGTAATACCACAAGTAAACTGCATTTTGCTAAGAGCGCGTACCAATGCGATAACATAATATAAGCGTCAGCATTCGTTTCTTTCTCTCAAGTAATAGTTGAGAAGCCAGAGAAGCCATGGGAACGAGTGCTATTTTGGCTATTTTGACATCTTTGGGTTTCCTGTGATAACATAAATAGCACAGGAAGCCCACGAGACCTGTTACTTTTCCTGGTGAGTATGAACTGGTAAAATTATATGAACGATCCTTTTGTACGTTGGACCACAATAGTCAACACTAAATTAAAACTCACAAGCAAGCGAACTCAAGGCTAAACAAAGAGAAATAGCCACGGCGGAAGTGAGTTCGGCGGAAGTGAATTCTAGGAAATCTGTCATGTATTATGGGGGCGGGCTGCCTGTTTATGTTCCTCACACGTGCGCATGCTCTTGTTTCTCGTGTGCCCTCGAGGAACATGGACTCTGGGGTGAGTTTGGTGTGCGCTTAAGCGTCAGCCGTTTTTGGTTCTAAAATTGTAAATACAGCTGCATTATATCGTACTAAATCAACCTCCTTGAACCGCTTCAGACCATGGCGATGCACTCAAGAGATTACTGGATTCCTTCCTGGCATTCGTTCTTTTAACTACTATCCTCATCCTCTTCTGGCTTCAAATGGTTTTCCGTTTTTATCTCCAGTCGCCACAAGTGTTTTTTATCGTGATGTATCTGCTTTTTCTGGTCCTTCTACTGAATTCTTCGTTCGTTCTTTAGTTTTGCCGCCATATTCAAATTCAAATTCGATTTCAACAATACAAGCAAGAATTTCTCTTACTTATTCAAGAATTCAACTTCTACGCCTTAAATCTAAATCTCCAATTCCACCAAATGTTTTTAATACTTTAAAAGAYCTAGGCATTCTGAATACTCGGCGAACTCGTGCTGGTGTTCGATATAAACAACAATCTTGCATTTATAAATTATTGTTAGTTGAAATGTCAAGTATATTAAAAGTATACTTGTCTACTAAAATATACTTTTAAGTATACTTAAAARTATACTTGCTTTGTGTACTATGAGTGTGCATCAAATATAGAAGTATACTGAAAGTATATTTCATTTTCATGCAGTATACTTTCAGTACACTTTTTAAGTGATCAAAAGTATAGTACTTAAAGTATACTTTTATAAGTACACTTATACTTAAAGTACTATTGCATGACGTATACTTTTTGATTATTCAAAAGTATATTTAAAGTATACTGAATTCCTACAATGGCCAATATCTTCGATCATTTCAAACCGTTTGGTTTTGCCTACTGTTTCTTCGAAGAAAGTGAAGTCACAGCGAAATAYTAATAATATTTCTACACCTTTGCATTTGCCTTTCTCACCCTCTTTGGATAAACCTGCTAAGATTTGCCTTCTTAACACAAGGTCAGTGTGTAATAAACCAWCTTATATACATGATTTTACTATTGATAATGATGTTGATATTCTTTGTTTAACTGAAACATGGTTAAAAAGTAAAAGTGTTAACAATCACTGAATCAGTCATTAATGAAATAACTCCGTTATGTCTTTAAACATGTTGCTAGATCTGGTAGAAGTGGAGGAGTCTGTGTTCTTTATAAGAAAACTTTAAAACTTGGGCAAATTTCACTTGACAAATTCAAGTCCTTTGAAATTATGGGCATGTCAGTTAACTCTTCTCCTAGTATTTCTATTTTCATAATTTATAGACCTCCATCTTCGGGGAGGAATAAACATTCAACTAGTTAGTTTCTTGAAGAGTTTTCTTTTTTTCTGGAGAATTTTTGTGCTCTTCTTCTGTCTTATTGGTAGGTGATTTCAATTTTCATATCAAGGACTCCTCTAATGCTGATGCTACTAAATTTTTGAATCTTCTTGAGATATTTAACTTAGCTCAACATGTGGACCACCCTATACATATCAAAATGAAAGAAATCTTGACCTTATGATAACTAAGGCTAGTGACACACATCCTCTCTAATGTATTAGTTTCTGATCCTGCCATTGTGCTGTCTTTGGCTCTCTTCAAATTAAAAAACCTCCTTTTGAGAAAATTATTTCTAAATGACGAAATCTTAAGGGCATCATCTATGACATGTTTTTGAATGATCTGTCCAATACGTCCCTTGTGAAGTCCGACTCTGATCTTGACTGCATTATTGATCAGTATGGGATTCACAGCTTTCCTCAATTCTTGATTCTCAAGCTCCACTAAAGGAACGTATTCTCACTCTTCGTCCTTTTTAACTCGATGATTGCGTTAKCAATGGAAGAGTTATTGTGGGGGAACGATCTGTCACTCACTAAGTCACTCACTCACTCACTTTCCTGTAAACTGCTTTGCCTTAGTAACTGCTGTTTTTTGACTTATTAATTTCTAATTATTCATCTTCACGGTCTACCTGTTTCTTTTTTTTTTCGAAGAGAAAGAAACTCATCTACTCGATGTGGCTGGGAACCCCCAAACTCTCACTTCAACGACAGAGACACTGGCTGTTTTACTAGCTTTTATGCAACACGAGATCAAATCATGGGTTTCCTGTGTCATAATTGGTAAAACTACTTCTCTAGGGCTACGAGGACCAAAAATATAAGATTCTATTCTTTTGCATAAAATGTACAATTTGAAAGAAGTTTTTAAAACGGTTTCCGCTTCGAGTRTGTGTCGACAGTTAGAAAGAGTCAGTGAAACGGATCCAGGGAAACGTAAGCTTACATGAAGCTTCTCGACCCTAAATTGTTCTTGATAAACGTCTCGGCCAAATTTGACCATTTAAGAACTTACGTAGAAAACAAGATTTCAAGCAAATGGTTGTRAATATGCCCTTTGGATCTTCAGATAAGCTATCAAAGTGCTGAAATTTACTATTTTGTGTATAATTATAATTTGACTCGTTGTCATATGTTGTTCAGACTCGCAACGGAAGCATGAGGAAGACTCGCCGATCCGACTAATTCGTTGCGAAAACCACGTTGCGTATGTTTTAATTATCCATGTTCGTCTACAATTCAAAAAATGTATTCACTCGCTAACGTACTATTACATTGTAATATTTGATATATAGTTTATTGTGTGGTTAGATATCGATAATACTTTCCACTACGGAAACTGGCAAACACTCGTAGTACAATGGTGTCATACAGTTGGTTGGGATTAAAGCGAAGCAACTATAATTTAATTCACCGTTACATAGTAAGCATTCTTAAAAGAATTGCTGGGAAAAATAATTTATAATAAAAAAGGAAATAAAAAAAAAGATTATTTATYGGTACTCGAACTGGGGCCGTCTGCACTCAAAGACCAYGTTTTATCCAMTSGGCTACGATGGCAAATTAMTTAATCACTKGGCTAAGACTGGCATTTATTTCGCGGACACTCGCTAGCCTCCATAAGCACAAGAATCGAACCGCTTGAGACGTCTGCTTTAAGGAGAGGCAATTATCCATAACCGAAGTTAAAATAATAAGATTTTACCCCCCCCCAAAAATTATTTGTAAATCGTTTACTTAAAATATACTTGATTCATTGTTCCGAATTCGTCGATACAATCAATCTTCGAGTTATGTTGGCATTGGCAGCTTGATTCTCCCTGGTACTCCTTTGAGATTAAGACTGAGATTAAAAAGAGATTAAAAAGCTTAGAGAAAAGATGTCGTACTACTCGTCTCACTGTTGACAGGGATCTTTTTGTTGCTCAACCAAATACTGTTAAGAATTTAATTAAGTCTAATTATTTTTCAAACCTAATAAATGAGCACAAGTCTGACCAGAAGGTTTTATTTTCTTCATTTGAATAAATGATTTTTAAAAATTCTGATTTGAGCTACCCTCCTGCTCTATCAGCAAATCATCTTGCTAGTTCTTTTGCTGACTTTTTTATTGGCAAAATTGGTAACATTCAGGAGTAGCTTTCATTCAAGTTGATCCTTGTTTTACCACTAACGATAAACCAATGAATGTAAACACTTGTCTCATGCATTTTACTAAAGTATCTCCTCATACSCTTTTGAAGATTATCAATCATATTGCATCTAAATCTTGTGAGCTTGATCCMATCCCTGCTAAAGTTTTAAAAATGTCCATTGATTGTTTGCTCCCTGTTATTACAAAAGTTGTTCATCTCTCTGGAGACAGGTAAATTCCCTGATTCTCTTAAATCATCTGTTGTAAAGCCACTTCTTAAACAGCAAAGCATGCCAACAGATGAATTCACTAGCTTTCAACCTATATCAAACTTAAAGTTTCTCAGCAAGKCCATTGAAAAAGTAGTTGCTCAACAATTGGTTGAACACCTTGAAAATAACAATCTTTATCAACCTTTGCAATCGGCATACGAGAAATACCAGTGTGGAAACTGCTCTTATCAAGGTTCATAATGATATACTGTGCTCTATTGATGTAAACAGGGCCGTCTTTCTTATTCTACTTGAGCTTTCAGCTGCCTTCTAAACTGTTAATCATGGAATCCTGTTAAATAGACTTGAAACAGTTTTTGGGATTGGAGGTTCAGCACTGAAATGGTTTCAGTCATATCTTGAAAATAGAACATTTTTTGTGTCTGTTGAAGGGGGCAAGTCTTCACTTTGCTCATTTGATTGTGGTGTTCCTCAAGGGTCTGTTCTGGGACCAATCTTATTTCTCCTCTACACTTCTCCGATTGTTGATATTATTCTCTCTCATGGTCTTGACTTT